GCATGCCAAGGTAAAGAGTTTGGATTTTATTCAGGAGCCACTAGATTTTGAGCACAGAGGTATCAAAAACTGAAGCAATACTTTAAATGGATCTACTTGACAATAGCAGGCCAGCTTACAGAGTGGATTAGAGGATACAAAGTTGGCGTATATATGTAATAATAGCCTATTAAGAAAATAAAATAGCGCAGAAATTGGCATAGGGAGAAAACATGCATAAAGGGTTAAGGCAACAACCATTAAAAAGTACACTGCAGTAGAGGTGAGTAGGTAAGAGACAGACTCTATAACTAGCTGAAGTGCATTGCTTTTGAAACATACCTGAGTAAGAGAGACAAATCAGCCATAAGATTGTACTTTCTCCTACACTGATTATCTTCTTTCCCCTCTCTTTTTGGCTGGCCTAATTTTATTGCAATTTCTGTAATTTGGGAATTATGACTAATATAGTTCTACATAGCGTTGCAAGCAATAGTAATGGTTTTAAACCAAATTCTTTATCTCATTTTAACAGAGAAATTACCAAACAACAGATTCTTGGCCAACAGAGCAAGAGCTAGCAAAGAAAATAGAAATTCCATTGTAGATATAATACATGGATTATTTAATATCATTTTATGATCCATTAAGAAGTAGCCAGAAAGTCAGAGATATAAGATCAAATTCTTGATCTCTTATGTGGCTAAAATAATGCAATTCTCATAAGATGGTAAGTTTTCCTTTCCTATGATGTGTCCAAAAGAAAACAAAACCCAAACAAATCATTGAAAATTCTAAAATATTTATTCTATTTTGCTTTCAATCTTGACTAGCCAATCTATGGTTCATTTTCATAGAGTAATGAATTCCTAGGGGGGAAATTGTCTTATAACCAATAGCACTTTAAGATGGCTGGCTCATCAAAAAATTTCAAAAGGCTATTGATGTATCATCAAGGATAAAAAAAACTCTCTGATCTTGTGGGAAAAAAGAGAAAAGGGTCATGCTTTGGGGGAAATGGTACATGATCAACGTTGCAATTACCAACATGGACTTCATAACATTCTAGTTGACAACTGTTCTCTATTACACTCAACTCCAATGTGAATTACAACTTCAATTGTAAATTGTTTCTGATATTTTACCATTTACTTCCGGACACTTAATTGTATTAATTTTAAAATAACCAGTAATGGTTCACTAATTTATAAAGTCCTAAGGAGTTTAGACAATTAACTTTAAGTAAAGAAATTGACTAAAATTCCTAAAAATGTATCAACTACTACTCATTGAGTGCCTAACAGGTGAAATATGGGAGACTCAAAGACATACCAAAGATGGTCCCCACCATCAAGAAGCTTAGAACGTAACAGGGAAGAAAAGACACTAACAGGGGCTATCCATAAAGTTGATTGTACAAGCCTCACCAGAAGAATCAATTCTATTACTTCATAGTCAGAGCTCATATCCTAGTTAGCTGCAACTGAAGTCTAGGTATTATTATATAAGCCTGTTTTCCATCTCTGTGCCTTTATAGAGAGATTATAATTGACTTGGGTGACCGAGACACTCATTCTTCCTAAGGACTAATGAGAATCATCACTGCAGACTGAATGCTCATCCATAATTCAGGATCCCAGTCTCAAAGATTATGTTCAAACTACAACAAATCTCGGCAAAGGTGAAATATTGAACCACTGCTGCTGCAGAAGCTAAATCATGATGCCAAATGGATGTATTTTTTTTTACTTCTTAGCACTAGAAACAGAGTTTAAACAGAAATATCCAAACTCAATAGCAATGAATATAACCAAGCGAGTGACAGAAAGGCTAAATTACACTAGACAAAGCTGTTTTCTTCATTAGTAACACATAGGTCCTGTTGTATAAAGTGATCATTGAGATTGAAAAGTAAAACAAAGCAAAACAAAAAAGCCTTCTCTCTAAGACTTATGTACCAATAGAGAACTGATGGGTTTGATTATTACAAACTCTCACACTAGACTTCTCAGGAGAGAAGAATCTGATTTGTTCTCAATGTTTTTATTTGACTTATCTGAATAATTACAACAATTATCCATTTTGCTTTGCTGGCCTTTTTTACAAGCTTACACATAGTAAAATGGTCTCTACATTTGTGTCTATCACTAATCTATATAGGAGGTAGATTTTCAATGTTAGGGTTTAACTCTATGGGACTGGCACCAAGAATTATTTGTTTTCATTCAACTCTATGGATTCTTTTCAGAATTTAACCCTGAACTCTTTTTTCACATGTTACAAATGCTACTTATGCTAGAAAAGGAGGGACATTTTCAAGTGAAGTCACTGTGTTCTCCAATCTGACAGAGTAAAATACTGTGGATTTATATAGTACAGTATTATAAATGATATGTGTAAGCAGAGTAAATATACTGCCTTCACATGTACTTGAATAAGTATTATCATTTTACCTGAGGGCCAGAAGCAATGATAATTTTTAACAGATAAGGGGGAGGGGATATGGCCTGAACCACTCCAGATACATTCCTCCTCACTGCTCCCCAAGATTTTCAGTCTCCATAGCCCTCATCTGTTTTGAATTACCATCACCTAGGCACTGAAAGAAAATAATAATAATAATGCACATAGATAAAAGGAAAATAAGTGTGCACTTAAATAAACATTAGTAAATTGTACCCAGTCTTCACTGGACCAGACTTGCACTGATACTATCAACATTTACCAGTGTTGTTCCTCTCTTGCTTTTAATTCCATTTCCATATTCATTTCTAGCATTGTTTAGCACCAAACTATTTTCCTTTGTCAAATGAGCTAGTGTAAGTAGATGGCCTCTTCCTGCTCTAAAAATCCTCTTTAATCTTAGAATTAATTAGATCTTAAAAATAAGATTATTAATTAATAATATAATATCACTAATTGATAAAAATAATATAAATTAATAATTGATTAAATAATACATTAATTTAATCTCAGGGATATTAATTTTAGGAATCATATATGTGCAGTTTCTCTTCAATAAGAACAGCCATTTTGATTGAGTTCTCTATGAGTTCAAGGTTTGAGATAATTCTCCTGCATATGTATAATAGGCAATAAAGTAATATCCAAAATTGTGTGGCACTTTGAATAAAAGTCACTAGTATATTAGCATGCAATAGCATAACTTTTGAAAACTACCGCAATAGAGTATTCAGACAGTACTCCCACTTAATAATAACTCACACTTACACAGTTTTCAGTTTACAAAATATTTTCTTCAAAACAACCCTATGAGAATTGGAAAGTATTTTATCTCCGTTTTAAAAGCAAGGAAACAGATATGGAGAGGATGAGGGACTTGGCTCCTAAATATTGGAAATGTGAATCAAACCTAGGCTTTCTTCTTTCAGATCTAGTGCTCTCTCCACTATATAACACTGCCTGCTCACCTCATACAGACTTCTACGTGAGCTTAGCATGAATTTCAGTCTTTTGAAAGTTCAAGTTGCCCAGACAATTAGAAAGGATTGCAGTGACTGCCCCCAGAGATAGCTGTCAATTGACTGTCATGATGATTAACAACAACAATAATAATAATAACAATAACACATGTTCAGTTGTTTCAGATTCTTTGTGATCCCATTTGGGGTTTTCTTGGCAAAGATCCTGGAGTGGTTTGCCATTTCCTTCTCCTGCTCATTTTACAGATGAGGAAGCTGAGGCAAGCAGGGTCAAGTGATTTGCCCGGGGGCACACAGCTAGTAAGCATCTGAGGCTGGATTTGAACTCAGGTCTTCCTGACTCCAGACCCAGCACTCTATCCACTGTGCTACCTAGCTACTCAATAATAACAAAGCTAGCATTTATATAGCACTTACTATGTGCCAGGCACTGTGCTAAGTGCTTTACAATTGTTATCTCCTTTGAACCTCATAAAAACCAGGACAGGTAGGTACTTTACTCTCCCCATTTTATAATGAGGAAACTAAGGCAAACAGTGGTGAAATGACTTGCCTAGGGTCACACAGCTAATAAATGTCTGAGGCTGTATTTGAACTCAGGTCTTCCTGAATCCAGCTTGGATACTCCATCAATTGCACATCCTAGCTGCCCCCAATGAATCTAGTAATTTAATAGTTTATCTAGTAACCCACTAGTTTATTGTACAAGGAGTCAAACGACCGGTTTATCAGAAATTCTGGAGCTGTCTTCAAAAAAAAACAATGATTTTTTTTTTACCCCATCTGAACATACCATTCTTTGCATCTGGCCCAGGCAGAACATCACCTTCCCTAAAATGACCCTGAATAGCAATAATTTCTAGATTTAGAAACCAGTAACAAAGGAGACATCAAACTTTTATATCCCCATAGGTGGATAAATATATACTTGATACATTTTTGGCAATAAGCCAGCGTTGCTGCTGTTGTTTGTTTGTTTGTTTTTCCCCTGAAGTAATACATAAGCAAAAGCAGATAATGAGCAATCCCCATATCATCTTAGGATAGTATTATGCTAAGCTGACTCACTCACAGACTCATTATTTATATGACACCAGTCACTAGTGAACTAACATCACTCATCATTCATATCGCTTCTTGCTGGCCTATTCTTGCAGCTCTGCTTCTCTCAGTCTCTGAAGGACAGAGTTGTCATTTATACAGCTATAACTCAGGGTCCTTGCCTGAAGGATATGAATTCACATTAAAATCTCTCTAATAAAGACTGAAGCACATACATCTCTTGCATAAGAAAAACACAGACAGGGTCTATCTCATTCTGGTATTGGGGTAGGCAGAGTACTTGCTAAATAAAAGGAAGACAGCTGAAGAAATGGCCTATATTGATTTTTAAAAGTCATCACAAACATGTCTGATATCTTTATTACTAGAAATTTCTAAAAAATTCTCCTACCACCTGCTGTTACAATTTCACAAAAGTGAAAACAAATACATATTTTTAAATGGGAGAAATAAATGTCTGTATCCAGATGTCAGTAAATCAGAACAGACTTCGCCTCTGAGACATCTGGCACTTACCTTGGAGTCTTTGCATCACATTGGCAATGTCTCGAGGAGATCTTGATAGCATTCTCGAGGAAGTGGCCATGATGTTTCTGTGGTAGGCACCTTCCAGCAAGAGAATCCTCCCATGAAACCACAAATCTTGACAGCTGGAGATTCTATGCTACTCTCATCTAGACACTTTTCTTTTCAGATCTGAGAGGCCGTAAATGGATCCATCCCTGGGCAGCAGCTGATTAGAAGACTGCCTTTTCAAAGTTTAAGTCATTTCTTTTCAGAAGTCCTTCTCTGAATTACCCTGTCATGGGGAAAAGACAGGTTTTAGAAATAATTTATATGGGCCTTTGTATATTAAAAAAGATACAAAAATAGTTATTCTAAAATTTAAAGATATAAATATACATGTTCAATATTCAAGAAAGCATTTTATAGTTGAATGCAATTGATACAGGAACTCTACTGAATGGCCATTATTTGAACTATTATAAAAATGAACAGCTATAAATCTAGCTCACAAACACTTCTCTGGGCTTGCTCTTCATGTTCTTACTCATGCAAACATAATGTCAGGGGGAGTATTGTTGTCTGGCATGCTATTTTGGCATTTTTAACCCACTGTAGATATTTGAAAGCTAAAAGAGAAACAACTGTTTTACTTCAACCTTTATGTTTAACATTCATAACAGTTGATATGAAAAAAAAAGAAAATGTGTTCTTTATCAAGTAAAGTAAATATTCTTGTAACTCTTAATATTTCTCCAATTCTTTATAATCTTAAGTATCTCAGTCAGCCTTGCACATATGAGAGTGAATGACCAGAAATCAAGAAACCTGGGCTTAGATCCCAGCTTTGACTCATTAGCTGTGAGGCTGTAAGTAAGCAACTTCACACCGCTACGCCTCAGTTTTATTATCTGTAAAAGTGGAAACAACTGGCACTGACCACCTTACAAGTTTGCAGTAAGGAAACACACACACATGTGTGTGTATGTATATATTATATATACGCATATGTATACACACATATAATGTGTGTATATGTATTATATATATATATATATATATACATATATACATATATATGTATATATAAACTTTAAAATGTTTTCTCTCTTCATTATATTGTCAGAGCATAATCTTAACCTCTTTTTCCAGCCATTTAACTCTCCATTCCCTAAAACTTAACTGATATACAACCTTTTCCATACAGCTTCCTTAACCCCTTTGCTGGTTATAGGCTTCCTTCCAGATGTCACATGCATTTTGTTTTGTATCTTGCTAATGAACTTATGTAAAAAGTTTCCCTTTGAGTCAGGAAAGTTCATCAAGAGTAACAATGGTGGCCAAACACAGTCTTTGCTCAGTGCAGTAAAAGTCACTAATAATGCAAAGTATGTAAAAGCTACTAAACACAGAAATTTAAGGAGGAATTCTGAAAATCAGTGTACCCCATATATCTAGACATCTCACTAATAAAAAGCCAGCTTAAGCCAGCAATGAAGATGTGTTAGTTTCTCCCAGAGTAGAGTATCTCTTTCTTTTAAACCCGAGACTGAGGAGAACAAGGTTAAGAATTGTAGTCTAAAGTATTCTTAGGATGGCTCTGTAGCAGTAACAATGTTTTATTTCCATCTTGGATCACCATGGTGTCTGATCTAATACAGTACAGAAATACATGTCATTGTATACACAAGCATTCCATCACTCACCCCCTCAGAATCCCCAGACAAGCATATATAGGTTCTATCATTATAACTCAAGCCCGTAAGTGTTCTGTGACCGTATCAACTTGGAAAATATTGTCTTAATAGATTTTCTATTAAGTTGGTGGGAGAATCATTCTTTAGTTACTAATGAAGGGGGTGGGATATAGCTGATGTTGATGCAGATACTAAGAAACATACAGTACTGAAGCTACAACTTTTGTTGGACTTTTCCCTTTGACACAACCTATGATTTGATTAGTGATTTCTGACATGATATAAGCCATACAGTCCCTAAGAGAAATTGTTTTTACAGGTCTCACCCAAGAACCTTAGATTTTTTCCTTCCCCTCTCCTAATCCATCAGTATGTTCTGCCAATTCTTTTTCCACCAAATCTAAGAGATGAATAGACACACAATTAAAGTTGACTGACTAGAGATGGGACCAGAATTTTTACATTTTCAAAGCAGAAGAACATTATCCATCAGACCATTTACTTAGATATCCATTCTCGCACATGAGGGATATCTTTTAAAATCCATTTTTTCCTCATTGAAAGATTAATATAGAATAATAGAGCTAAGACAGGTCTTGCTACCTGGCCGAGTGATACAGTAGAAAAAGCATAGACTTTGGAATCAGAAGGCCTAGGTTAAAATCCTGCCTCTGATAGCCTACACTACCCATGTGACATTTGGAAAGTCATTTAACTTCCCTGGATTTCAGTTTCTTCATCTGTCCCATCTAGCTATCGAGCTATAATCCCTATGATATAATATGCCTTTAGTATTTAAACATAAGGTGAGATGTCTATAACTTAAGAAACCTGTGTATACGAATACTAGAACGAGTCCATCAACATATCTCATGGATAGAGTATGATGAAATCATCATATAAGTCTTAGCTGTAAAGACAGAAGACCTAGAGACCATTTGACTTTCATATGACACTGGAAATCTCTGCTCAGAGAGAAGAATAAAATTTTTGAACATGAATATCTAAATTTATAATCCTTGATAATGTGGGCCAGAACTAACTGAGGCCAATCCAGTGGTTGAAGTTTGGGACTGAAACAAAATGAGATACTCATACACTATCTATCATAGACAGTTAACAAAAAGAAATTTACTTTGCCATGGCCTAGAAAAGGATACACAGTTTGTCCAGATAGACGCAACCTCCTACCTTGTCTCCATATGGAAATACATCTGGTCAGAAAGTGTGCTGATGCACATAGCAGTGAAACATCTGTCAAGTCTAAAGGGCACTGATTCCCCATTGACTGACCCTTTAATGCCCTTAGTAATCAGGAAGGCACATCAACAGCTCAAGCCTAAATCTGCTAGACCAATCAAGTCTTGAGGACAGCTTCCTCACATTTTCATGAAAAAATAGTCTGGCCAACATGGCAGGTTCTTCAGGCCACTTTGCAAAGCCATAAAATGCTATATAAATAAGCCCTAAAATTTATTGTTATGGTGTTATTATTATTAGGCAAACTACATGATGTTCTTGACAATCTCAAGCTTCTCTTTGTCATAAAAGTTCATCTTTTGTAGAATATTTCTCAGTAATATAATATGACATTGAATGGTGGGATACCACAATATCAGAAGAATTAAAATTGGAAATGACCCAAAAGGCAATGGAAAGAGACATGATAGGTGTAAGTAGATTATAGCACATTATCAATGATGACTTGGATGTCAGATGTAGGGCAAAAGATATAACAAAAGTTGTGTGTGCCTAGAAAAGATGAGCTGGTCACTGCATGAAAATGAAGTATGATAACAATTGGGTAGCCTCTATGCTGAAATGTCTTAATGTGATACACTAAAGGATCTCCAGAGAAAGGCCTCTAGTGTTGTTGGGTGGTTGTTCTAGGAAGGATTTATAACATGGACAAGATTAGAATAAGAATAAAAAGGTGGAATGGGTGGTAATCTGTATCTGGTCAGGATGCATCCATATCACTGCGCTCACAGATCAATCAAAATATGGAAGAATTGTGCTCTCATAGCACCCTACATGATGCTGAGTACATAATGTGTCATGGAAATAATAATGAATATAACCGAACTTGACTCTCATTTTTAATGTGTGAAGGGAACAGAAGGAACTAGTAAAGGAGATAAGTTAAAGAACCGGGGAGATGACATAAGAAAATTAATAGAAAGAAAAAAAATACCCATAATCTTCATCAAAAGCCATCTGTTCGCAGTTTGCAAAAGAGTTGGAAGAGACCTCAAAAGCCACTATTCCAACCCATACATGAAGAAGAATCTCTTCTACCACATATCTCAAATATTTGCTTAAAGAACTTTAGAGAGGAAGAACCCACTACCTTGGCAGCTAGCCTATTTGGCTTGGATAGATCTCTAATTTGGGGCAGCTAGGTGGCTCAATGGATAGAGAGCTGGGACTAGAGCCAGGAAAACCTGAGTTCAAATCCAGCCTCACACACTTACTAGCTGTGTGAGCCTGAGGAAGTCACATAAGCTCTGCTTACTTTAATCCACTGAAGAAGGAAATGGTAAATCACTCTATCTTTGTCAAGAAAACACCAAAATGAGTCATGAAAAGTCGGACACAACTGAAATGACTCAACAACAAAACCAGACTACAAAATGAAGACTGGGATGTGGAATAACAAGGACCAAGACATGAATCTATTCTGAAGACACACAAATGAATTTTCAATTTTCTACAAAAGGGTGGAGAATTTGTGGCCTCAAAGCCACATGTGGCCCTCTAGGTCCTCAGGTGTGGTCCTTTGACTGAATCCAAACTTCATAGAACAAATCCCCTTAATAAAAGGATTGCTCTGTAAAAGAAAAAAAAACCAGTCTGTTGTTAACAACTAGGGATGGTAGTTATCTTACAACACCTCCCCTTTGCCTCTGCCACACCAAGGTGAAAGGTCCTTATGGATTTGTCAACATATTTCAAAAATCAAAGTATTCATATGGCAAAATTAATTTTTGAAACACTGAACAAATCTTTGGCATGAATTTTATTCATCTTTAGAGCTATAGCTTGTTCAAAATGTGTCCAATTTATTCAGAATCACAGCATGTTAGAGCTGCTCTAAATCCTATGATCCAAAGGTCATGCAGTACAACTTCCTCATTTTATTAAGAGGAAAGCCAAGGCCCTGAGAACTTCCCTGTTGAACTTGAGGACACCTACCATCTTGTTAGTCTCATAAGTTCACAACCTCAACTTCTCATTCTCCCTCAACCCACATATCCAATCTATTGTCTTATCTTACAAGTTCTATTTCCTCAACATTGCTCCAATAGGTCCCCTCTCCACTCATACCCCCTCAGTTTAGGCTCTTATAGCCTCACTCTATTACTATTGCGATAGCCTCCTAATTAGTCTCCCTCCCTCGTGTCCCTACACAACAATTCTTTTTCTACACAATGGCAAAAGTGATTTTCTTCCAGTGATGGTTCGCCTGAGTTATCCTCCCCTCCCACACATATCAATAAATCCTCATGACTATCTACCTATCAAAAGCCTACTATTCCCACCCATATATGAAGAAGAATCTCTTCTATCACATATCTCAAATATTTGTAGCATCAAATAAAAATTCTACTGTTTGGCAAGTAAATCTCTTCACATCCTGGTCCTATCCTACTGTTTGGGGCTTATTAAACACTCTTTCCTTCCAAACACTCTACAATCCAGCCTTTTTGCCTTTTCTCACCTCTAAAATTCCATCCCCTATCCTCAAACCATTGCCACTGCACTGGCTATCCAACCAGACTAGAATGCTCTCTCTTCTCATCTGAATCTCTTAGAACCCCTAGCTTTCTTCAAGATTCAACTCAAAGATCACTTTCTATAGAGGACCTTTCCTGGTGCCCTCTCCCTGCCTTATTTGCTAGTACCATCTTCCCTAAGGTTACCTCATAGCTACTTAGTATATGTTTTGAATATACCTGTATATGTATATCCAACATTAGAACGTAAGTTCCTTTAGTGACTATTTAACATTCGTCTTTATATTCCTAGTGCCTAGCACAATGCCTGGCACATAGTAGGATTTTAATAAATGCTTATTGATGGAAGTGATTTGTGTAAGATCACAGGTGATGAGTTGGAGAACCAGAAGTTCTAAACTCATTCCTTTTTTTCACTATGACATGAGTGAACTGATTACCAAATGATGGTTCTTCCCAGTTGTGGTAATAGGGATGAATACCTCACAATTAGGAGAGACGGGTTTAAGATAATTTTTTCCACCAATTTTTTAATCCCAGAGGATCCTCAAGCTCCGTCTTCTGCTTCAACACCACAATAAGTTTTCCCTTCTTTGCTTCTTAGCATGGACATTAATCTCCTAGCTGCCAAATTATTAAGACACTTTGAAGTATAACTTCAAACAATTAAAAAAAGCTGAGGTATTAAGACCCAGGAAGCAACAACTGAGTACTTTAGACCATAGAGCAGAGATGGGCTGACTCACTTCTAACCAAAGACAGATAAACTAACGTGAGGTTACTAGGTAAAGATTCAGGTCAGAAAACAGCAATAGGCTTTAAAGATCAATATAACTCTATATAAACTATACAAATGTTATTCATTAATAGAATAGGTAATGAAATCTGCTCATTTTTCAGTTAACTTAAGCAATAACTTCAATTTCATTACTCATTAAGGTCTGTTGGCATTCATAAATTTAAAAAAATATTTGAGTTTTACTTCATCTTTTTTTTACCCTATACACCCACGGGTAAAGAATGGAATTAGCAACCTGTAACATAGCCAAAAGCATACAGAAGGGAGGAAGAAGAGGAGGAGCAAAGTATTTGGATATTCAGCTCCTGCATCATCATTACAAAAAAAAAATGTGCTGGGTACCCAGGGGGTGGGTGGCAGTGTTCTGAATTCTGTCCCTACTCAGCAGGAAGATGAATGCATAATGAACATCTGATGTACGTGTCCTCTAACCAAAAGACAGAGTACTCAGTTGATTAGTGTAAAAAGAAATTTAGGTCATGATTCAGTTTGATCAAGAGGATTAGCAGTTGTCCAATAAAAAAGATTATCAGTTACCATTCTCTCATATACTTACCAGGAGTGCATTTTTTTAAAGTAATAAACACATCTAAGAACTAAAACCAAGCAAAAACCCAAATAAACCCCATGTTTCAGATCTTATTAGTCTATGCCAAATGGAAGGCCACAGTAGGGAAAAAAAAAAAAGGAAAAAGAAGAAAGGTAGTCAGGATTTCATTAGATCCCATGTCATACGTGCTAGCCTTATACCATGGGGTCTGTAGGGTGGGGTCAACCATAACTAAAGCTGGAGTGAAAGAAAAATGGAATGCCTTTGCCCACTTATGTATTTCTTACACAACCTCTTCCAGTTACAGCCCCATTTCCATTCCAAGAAGCTGCCTGGCAAATGATCATCAGATTGAAGGCTATACTATGCACTACTGTGGCAAGCATTTTTCAAAGATTTCTAAGCTTAAGGCAACTCTTTTTTTTCTTTCTCTGCAGAAAAGTAACATTGAGAATCAAGTACAGAAGAATATATGAGAGAGAAAATGGTGAGCAGGTGTAACCCATTTTGTGAAAATTATTATTTGAGAAGGATAAAAGTGAGGAGAATGCCATAGCCCAGGGGGTAAAAGTTTTAAAGAATAGTATCAGTACTATCTGGAATATCCTGAAAACAGCTCCTGCCCTTTAACATGAACATATTTTAAGTTTACATAGTTAAAGTTAGCATTAGTTCTAAATCTACCTCAAAGCAGTGAACAGGTGGTGAAGAAGAGGGGAATTTAAAGCATGCTGTTCCTTGGGTGTCAAGACATCCTAAGCAATACATCCCATCATTTCTCTCAAAAAGCCAGATCCAAGAATCTTCATGACTCACATCTAACATAGCTTTTCTGCATATTTTACACTCTTGTTTCATTGCCTATCATTACACTATGCCTTGGTGTGATTTGACCTTCCTGTGAAAATGCTACTAAAATGTGGCAACAAAATTAGGTGAGCATTGGTATTTTCAAAGGGAGGGGAAGCATTTCTCCCTCAATTTTTGGAACTGCTTTAGGACAGCCTCAGAAAAAGAAAAACTAACCAGCCCAATGTGATAAAACATTATATTAAAAAATGCCAGTATGGTAAGACTGGCCTATAGCTGCTACCCCTGGAAAGCCTGCCCAAATTACCTACAAAAGAGGGCCTGAGTCTATCACATCCTACGAAAAATCTTTACACCAACCTAGTCCATAGGACAGCTTTTCTCCAAGTTCTCTGCCTTCCCTGGCTGCTGCTTTCTGCTGCCTTTGCGTTATTTGACTGTCCTTTGCAGTGAGTGCACCAGCCCTCTCTGAATCGCCATTCCACCCCATACCCTGGGCAGTGATGTAAAATCTGAGTCGGAAAACGAGTCTTCGACTAGGCTGGCTGAAAGTTATTTTGCCCTCTAGTGCAGACAGCGCTAGTGCACTGATCCGGTGACAGGGAGGGGAATGCGATGGGTCCAGCCCCGCACACAATTCTTGCTTTGCTACCTATTTCCCCTTCCCCAACCTTTCCTAAAATAGCACGGAAGGCGGAGGAAGGGAGGCTCCAAGAATCTGTCTGACGCCCTAGAGCTCCTATCTGATAGTAACAGTCACCGGTACAATGACAGGGGATGTTGGGGTCGGGGGGGTGGGGTAGGGGAGAGGGGGACTTTCGCTTCTTTCTGCACTAGTATGGGCTTAAGGATGTGCCGTGGGCGGAAATGACAATATAGAAAGAGGGAGAAATTTGCAGAAACCTCCTGGCACCTGATTGCAGGGAGAAAATCTCCCTTCTTTTCCACCTCCCCTACCCTCAGCTGGGCAGGACCCTAGAGTACAACGCGCAAACTTGCCAGGGATGTGTCCTCGTTTTTGCATGTTTTACCTTATTCCTAAGGCGGCTGGCTCGTCTTGTTCCACCGTTGCCAAGAGCAGCGGTTGAAAAATCACCTTGGCTTGCTTCTCCCGGGCTCCGCGGGAAATGCCCAAGAGCTCGCTCTTGTGCCTGGCGCTCGTGCTCTCCTCTCAATCCTGCTCTTTTCCACCACCACCACCACCAGCAGCAGCAGCAGCAGCAGCAGCAGCAGCAGCAGCAGCAGCAGCAGCAGCAGCAGCAGCAGCAGCGCAGCAGCAGCAGCAGCAGCAGCAGCAGCAGCACAGCAGCAGCAGCCGCCCCCCCCCCTTCTTTCCTCTCTCCCTCTGTCTTTACGAGAACTCTGGTGCTGACGGGAAGCCTTGGCCTCCCTGGTTACTGGGTACAACAATCCCACCCTAGCTCCATCCGAGCAGACAGATACACATAAGCGTGTACACACAACACACACGCACGCACACTCACTACTGCACCTAGCAGCGCCGGAGTGTCGTTCCCTCCCTCTAGCAATCAGATCCCTGGCGGGCCCTGCCGACCAGTGTCCTCTCCTCCCAGCATCAAACCTGAGCTTGCTTTCTCACCTCCCTCTCGCGCTCTTGGTCCAGAAGAGGCAAGGGAAAACTCCAGTGTCTCTGGCCAGGGTCGCTCTCCAATCCCTCTCCTTCCCACCCTTCCTTGGCTGGCTCAGCTTGGACGTCCTAGTTAGCCTCTGCTATCGAAAGGATGCATCGGCCCCCTGGATGAGCTGGGGGCGGGGACAAGGGAGGGCAGCTACGCAAAGGGCTTTCCCTTAGCTGAAATACACACAACCTCGCCTGCACCCTGGTGGTGTCTCTCAGAAGCAGACTAAGTGGTGTGGGTCCTCCACCCTCCCCTACGCCCTCCCATCCACTCCGGACCTGCCTGCTGGGGTTGAGGGCGGAGCGGAAATGTCAGTGGGAGATGCTGCCTCTGCTATACCGCAGCTGTGGGAGCGCTCAGAGCTGATTTGGCCTGGTGTGGTAGCTGCTCAGCTCCTCCAACATAAGCCTCCTGCAGGGATTCCGGAGCAACGAAGTGGCCCCTCAGTGCACCACTTCCTCAACCCCCTGCACAATTTAAGTTGGCTTCATAATAAGGGTGCACGCGGATTGTCCTCATGGAAGTTAGCAGTCACTAATTTAACCATCTGTTTTGTGACCCAGGTCAAACAGTAAACACTAAAACTGAAGGTGAAAAGCTGCATGTCAGTAATTAAACTGACACATTCCAAAGCCCTTTGTCTCATTAGTCATCCTTCGGTTAATTTTTCAATATGTTGCTGTTTTCACATATGCTACAAAATGACCCACTTTGCTGATATGTTTGAGATGAAAGTATGGTATTTTAAGGGAATAGAAAAATACATTTTATGGAGTAGTGCTAAGAGAACTGGCTTTAGAATCCGGAAAAACCAGATTCCAAACCTGTCTGGGGTATATAATTGCCTGGGTGACCTTGGGTAAGTCTTTACTATTCATTGCCCCCCCGCCACTCTCTAAAACTAAAGCCACAGAATAGTTTCTGATTTGAGTAAGTAGAGGAAACTTGTTTACATAGAGTACATATGCATTAGAAATCATAGGCCTGCCTGCCCTCTCAAAGAAGAAAGAACCCTGAACTTGGAGTCAGAAAATCTGGATTTGGATCCCAGGTCTGGCACTGAGAGTGAGCTGTGGGACTTAGATAATCACTTGTCTTCTCTGGGTCTCAGTTTCCTCATTTGTAAAATGAGGGATTTAGATTAGATGATCACCAATGTTCTTTCCTCAGGCCTTGACTTTCTGCTTCTTCAAGATGATATGAAAATGAGTCAGTGGTGACAGATGGCTGAAGTAAATCTCTAAATCATAGTTTACTAACCAAACCTGGAAGCAATAATCCTGCCAACAACTGTGACAAACTCAAAGATCAGTTCTCCCTACTGAAAGGTTTATACATGGGTTACAAATAGTCTGCCTTTTATCAACCAAATCAAAAGTTTGTTTCTGATTTGCAAATTGAAATGCTCAACATTAGGAAAAGTTTTGAGGTAGGTAAAATGTAAAATTCAAATTTGTTGCCCATCCTATACCTTTCTATATCCTTTACTATGATACTCAGTGGTACTTCCACATGCTTCTTCATGTATCCAGTGTCCTTATTCCCTTTTCTCAAAATATGTTCTTAGAAAAGAATTTGACTAACTCATTCACACTACACATCAACAAAATAAAATTCACACTAAAATACTTAAATGGGTCTGTGATCTTATTGATTCAATTCCTGCCAATGATGACAATTGTAACTCATCCATGCCAGCTTATGGAGTATTGTCCATTCCTTCACTTAAATTCTCTATAGGGGTCCATCTAGTGTGTTGGAGACCTTTCTCAATTTTTCCTAATCTTGCAAAGATTAAGGATCTTGGAAAATGAAGCATTCTGACTGTCCACTTGGGATCATCACTTACTCTTGATACATGACCAACCAATTTTCTCTTCCAATTATACAATTCTTTGATAGGCTCTTTTATTTTGTCCTTCAGAATTCCTCATTGGTTATATATTGCAGCCTGGTTGCATTAATGCAATACCTGATGACCAAACATACCACAAAATAATGTTTCTTGTTGTCTTTGATTTGTACAATAAAGCCTACTTTGTCAACCCTTTTCTTCACCTCTCCAAGAAATACTTGTGTTTGGCAGTGACTTCCTTGTTCTTTTTTTACTTTACAGCAAAAATGTCAAGACTGATGTGATTTAGCAGCTCCATCAATATGTCAATCCTTTGGCCAAGGGACAAAGAGCACATATTTAGAATGTTGTTTTTCAGTTGTTCAGCTGTGTTTGACTCTTCATGATCCCATGGAATTGTCCATGGGATTTTCTTGGCAAAGATATTGGAGTGGTTTGCCATTTCTCTCTCCAGTGTGTCCCCATTTAACAAATGGAGAACTCAGGCAAATAGGGATTAAGTGACTTGTCCAGGTTCAAACAACTAGTAAGTATCTGACGTGGGATTTGAATTCAGATCTTCCTGACACCAGGCTCTGTGCTCTATCCACTGCACTTCCTACTTCTCCCATACACATTTAGAGTACCCATAGTTAATAAAAGTTTGTTTATCATCCAAAAACTATGATTCTCGATACCTTCTATCCATTTTCTGCCCTTCCGCCATAACTGTTGTAGTTTTAGCAGGGGAATACACAGGACTGAGGGCCATTATAAATATATGTGTGTATATATACATGTATATATATATGTGAATATATGTATGTGTGTGTACATTTGCTTTGTGGGTCACCATGGTCAAAAAAAAAAAAAAAGAATCATCACCAAGAAGCCTTTCTTAGCTAAGTTAGTCCTTACCTAGCATGTGTCCAGGGCTATAGAATGAAAACCTAATGGAGTTTTTGCTCCACTGGCAAAACATATGAGAATCTAGATTTCCATGCCACACTGTACCTTCCCCTCGTCTCCCTCTGTTAGAGCTTTAACTTAATAATCAGATAAACTAATGTACACTATTGTGTTAATGGTTAAAAATGATAACAATGTATCACACAAGTAATGCTACATATGAACTATAGTCTTTTGGATTCAAATGTCTTAATCCAATAGAGAAACCCTTAGGAGTGGAATTTCAGTCCTAAAACAAGTAGGATGAAATACAGTTTGTTCACATTAGAATGCAAGCAGGAATAGGGAGGGCTGCCCAGGAAGTCAGAAGCAGGAGAGTTTAGCCACGCACGTGGGGTTTAGAATATACAAGGGTCTATATAGCTTTTGGATTAAATCCAGTGAATTCAGCCATGGCAGGTAGGCTGGATAGGTAGGTTTCAGAGGGCAAAGAAGTCACAAGAGCAGCAGTATTGAACAAAGAAAAAATTTTTAACTTAGATTAGAGAATATTTGTCCTCTAATTTGTTTTACATACTGTCTGTTACCTGTGGATCACTCTGGCTAGACAAATGTTGACAACATTCAAGAGATGCTTGGATTAGAGCCCAGCTAATTTGTTAATATGTCACAGATGGCACAGAGGAATGTGTGCTAGATTTGTGGTTGGAAGTTGAAATCCTGTCTCTGCCATTCACTACTTATGCAATCTTGGGTAAAGTCACTTCAACTTGAGGGCTTTAGTTGAGAGAGAGAGAGAGAGAGAGAGAGAGAGAGAGAGAGAGAGAGAGAGAGAGAGAGAGAGAGAGAGAGAGAGAGAGAGAGAGAGAGAGAGAGAGAGAGAGAGAGAGAGAGAGAGAGAGAGAGAGAGAGAGAGAGAGAGAGACGAACTAGATGACCTCTAAGGTTCCTTCTCACTCTAACTTCATGATCCTATAATCTTGCATTTATAGACTGCTTTATTTTATAGTTAATTTTCATAGATATCCTCATTTTAAATAGGTAAGAATCCTACTAGGCAGAAAGGATAAATAACTTTCTCTAAAGGATCCCTGAACATCTGATCTCTGCGACTTTGTTTATGCTGATCTCTCCTCTCAGAATCCTATTGTTCTCCATCTCTACCTGTCAAAATATTACCTTCTTTATGTTATCATGCATTTTGCTCTCATCTTTTGCTCTATAGAACCAACAGAAATGATCCTGGAATAGGTCAGTGACCTGCTATCATCATTTTATGTTTAATGTTCTGAGACTGTTGCACAAATAGACAAAATGACTGCCTTATGTAATTGGAGAAGATCATTGGGATGCAAGTTTATCTTTGGTAGACTTACTGAAAGTATCTTCTGGGCAACTCAAGTGGCAGACAGGATGGCAAGATGACATGAACCTTGTCCTGTTTCCACATTATTTTAATTTATTCTACTTGGCTTCCACATTTTGAAAGCTTTTCATCCCATATAGTTTGGAGATTATGAGTATTTGGCATGGTAACATTTATTTAATTTTAAATTATTTTTGCATATCAATATTGTATTTGGGTGGTTTTGAGAAATAGTGTTGTCTATAAGGATATTTCATTTCCAGGATAGTTAATTCACTGTATTCTTAATTCTATTTTAGGGTCTATAGTTATAGTATGGAGATTTGTCATCTGTTAACAAAAGAAAATGAGCTTCTGATGTAAAAGTCCAACCACTTGATCCTGCCATTCTAGTTATCCAGTAGATACTAATTTTTTTTTTTTGCAGCCTGTAGTGATACACAGTACAGTTATACTTAACTCCAAAATCTACATCAATCAATGAGTCTATGGTTTTCTTTGTAATTTCTGATGAAAATGACTCAATCCTGGATTGCTATCATAAACATTTCTGTTTTGATGAACAGATTCAGCCATTTCTTCCTTCATTCCTTTCTTTGTCCTTTACTTTCTTTTTCTTTTTTCTTCCTTCCTTCCTCATTCCCTTCTTTCTTTCTCTTTCTTTCTTTCTTTCTTTCTTTTTTCTTTCTTTCTTTCTTTCTTTCTTTCTTTCCTTCCTTCCTTCCTGTCTGTCTTTCTTTCTTTCTTCCTTTCTTTCTTTCTTTCTGTCTTTCTTCCTTTCTTCCTTTCTTCCTTTCTTTCTTCCTTTCTTTCTTTGAAACTAGGTCTCCCTATCACACTCAGGCTGGAAGGGCAGGACTCATTCAAGGACACAATCACAGCATAGGAATTTTGGCCCACTCCATTTCAGTTTGCCCCTCCTTAGGCAGCCTGGTAGTCCTCTACTCCCAGAAGCTTGCAAAATTGATGCTAGATCTAGTTTGGGTTAGTCCAG